TTTTATTTGTGCTGATAAATAAATAAAGGGAGACTAGTAAAAAGAGTAAAAAGAGACTAGTATAGATCTATTTCAAGCTATTTAGCTCTCATCAGCTAGCCATACCCTTACTGGGATTCGAAGTTAGCTGGCAGGCTAGCTGATGAGAGCTAAATAGCTTGAAATAGATCTATACTAGTCTCCCTTTATTTATTTATCAGCACAAATAAAAAACACAAATATAACAAAGGCAACAGTAAAAATATTGGGTTTCTGTCGTGATGGACTCTTGTGACGAGGCGATTGACAGATGATGGAAGCAGTTAGCTTTCTCCCATAATTGGGGCTTACCAGGGGTTGTGACACTATATATATATATAGTGCAGTTAAAACACACATACTCAACACACATTGCTCATCGTGTTTATACAAATGGGGAGGGGGGGTGTCTGTAAGCAAGGCCCCCTCGGGTGAGGATCATGGTCTTGCAACAGAAAGAATTTGAAGACAGAGAGAGAGAGAGACAGAGACACGGAAAGAGAGAGAGGGGGGGGGGTGCTATTAAAAAATCACAGATCGAGGGTCTCGTCGTCGGGGAGAGCCCACCTAACAGTCTGTATTCACCTGTTCTCCTATCTCCAAAAAACCCCCAACTATTTGGAATGTAATCCGTGCAGGCTTCGTGAAACTTGTGTCTGTAATTCTCATCTCTCTCGCTTTAGTCTGAATACATACATGTATATATTTTTCAATCCGGTGTTGAAAGTGGCTTCCTTGCTGTTTCCTTCTTTGGTTGCTGAATCGCACCGTTGCTGGGGGGGGCGGGGGGGGCGGCGCCAGGCGTGGGATTGAAAATTTTTAGCAACCGGTTCTCAGCCCGGTTGCTGGGTGGGCGTGGCCATGGAGGCATAGCCTAGTCGGCTTCTTGCACCATGGCGGGAGGGGGGGGTGTTTTCGCCCTCCCCAGGCTGCGGAGGCTTTCCTTAAGCCTCAGGGAGGGCGAAAACAGCCTCCCTGGGCTCTGGATCCCAGAAATGGGCCCGTTTCCAGACTTCCGGTAGGCCCATTTTTCACCCTCCTCAGGTCTCGGTGGGGTTTTTTGAGCCTCCAGGAGGGTGAAAATGGCCTCCCGCTGGCTCCAGAGGCCCTCCTGAAGCCGGAAACAAGCCCGTTTCCAGACTTCCAGTATTTCCAGCAGGCCTGTTTTTCCCCCTCCCAGAGCCTCCGTGCTGGCCCTGTGCTTACCTGGCATGATGAATGGGCCGCGTGGAGACTTCTGAGAGGGGAGGGGTGAAGTGGGCAGGGTCTGCCTGTCCTTGTAACTACCGGTTCGGTGAACCAGATTAAAAATAATACCCGGTTCGCCCAAACTGGTCCAAACCAGCTGAATTCCACCCCTGGAAGGGGCGTTCAGTTTTGAATGCCCAGGTTGGGGCACTCTGAAATGTTGGAAAAAGGATCTACCCCTACCGTCATCAACACCACCACTACCTGCCTTGTTCAAATCTGGAGCAGTTTAGATTTATTTGGCATCTTAGAATGACCAACTTGGGAATCCTTCTCATTTCAACCCATTTAAGAGAACGAAGAAAAGGACTGGTCTTAGACAGAAGGAGCACATGGATGGATGCTGAATCATCCCTCTGCCTAACGTAGACGACTGGCGCCCTCGATGGCACATGGATAGCCACTTAAATGTCCCCAGCTTTCTTGCCCGTCGGATTCTTCAAAATGGTTCAAGATTTGTTCAATTTGAATAAATGAATGGTGGGGTTTTGATGTGCTGAAAAAGAAACAAAACACGTCAACTTTGATTTTGCAACACAAGACAACACAAGGGCATCAAAGACGCAAGAAAACTAAAAAGGTAGAAAGCATCATTAGCTGGGGGCTAGGGAGGGTAAGGAGGATAAAGTGTGCCTCTGTGTGTGTGTGTGTATAGAGAGAGAGAGAGAGATGACAGATAGATGGTAGCTGTGTGGGAGAGATTGAAAGATAAAGAGATATAGATGATAGAGAGATCGATAGATAAATGATAGATAAGTGCAAATGAGATATTGAGAAAGATGATAGAGATAGAGATGATGGATGAGTTTGGTAGAGAGAGAGAAATACAGAGGTGGGTTCCTACCAGTTCGCACCTATTCGGTAGAACCGGTTCGTCAAATCTACCGAACCGGTTAGAAGAGGTTCCACCAGTGGACCTGGAAAGCAGGCCACACCCTACGGAAGAGGTTCCAAACTTTTTGGAAACCCACCACTGGG